CTTGATCTTCTAGGCTTTTGCCAGGTTTTCTCCAATAAAGCCAAAGTGCTAAGCTCCTTTTTATTAATATTAGTTGGTGAATCACTAACACTGTGTCAGAAATGTTCAAGAACCAAATGTAAGTTAATGTACACAGACTCTACAAAGCAAAAACGATAAAAATATTCCTACTCTGGAGCAGAGAGATCATAGACAATAGTTCTTGGATCATAATGAAAAATGTTCAGAGAGTTGAGAAACATCCAACTCTTCTTGGTAAGAACTGGAGGCTCTTTAAATTATTCATAGCTAAGGCCTAGGTTAAATAATTGATGTAATAGATTCAAACAAACATTTTAAAAAAATGGCACACAGACAACTGGTAGAGATCCTGAACTCATTCAGCAAGGAGACAAACATCTACATCATAATTAGACAAAATTTAATGATATCATTACACTTGGGAAGAAAACAGGTCCACATTTTATGGCTGAGCTATTTGCCCCCACGTAAACAACCAGGGAATTGCTGCAAGGAGTGTGCAAACAGTTCCTCTGGATGCTCCCACAAAGAGGGTTATCTCCAGTGGGGCTGGGAGTGTTGGAATTCATGGAGTGAAAGGTCAAAGACTCCACCACACTGAGAGGCCCAAGCAGGAACCTACAGAGCTGCTGCTGAGATGGTCCCATTCTCAGAAGGTCTCAGGGACAAAGATGGAACTGGTTTTGGTGGTTAATGAAATGTAGAGCTGACAGAGAAGAACAAGAGCTGGAGAGACAGGACTCACAAATGGAAAGCACACAATGCTGGTACTTTGTGAGCAGAAGTAATGGCTCAGGGGGAACTCAAGCCTTTTAATCAAGTATCTCTTGGAGCCCCTTTCACCCCTGAAGATTCATTTTCTTTCCCTTCATCTCCTATTCTTTGCCAGTGCTGAACAGTGTGACATCACCTGCACCAGTACTGAGACCAAGTGCCAGAACAGACACTGGGAATTACAGATATTCCTACACATGAAGCAGGAAAACATTCCCAAGGACTCCATCCAACTGGACTGTGTCTGAGGGCTATTCTGGGCAGGTAATTCATCCCCAGCACAAAGCTTTATGTTGAAGGAAGGACTGAAATGTTCCCTAGGGCACATTATCAGCACCTTATTTGGGATTTTGTATGCAAGAAGTAGCTCAAAAACTAAGCATCCAATTTTAGGACACTGCCTGAAGAGTTTTGAAAACATTTACAAAAACATTATATTACAACATAATCATTACATAAAAGAATTATTCCTAATTAGGAAGTGGTCACTTACACAGTGACCTTAACTTTAAAGTCCCCAGGGATCTTAATTTTATGTGGACTTCCCACCAGTTCTAGGTGGAGTGACTGTAACAGGTATAGACTAGATAATACTGTGAATGTCAAATTTTATTTAAGCTAACAGGAATCTCAGAGCACAACTAACTGTTACATCATTAAAGTCTACAGGCATGACATGCATGGTTGTCTGGCCAGGTTTGATGTCATCCTGAAGTCCCATCTCTCCAGAGGGACCATTTCACAACTGTACTCACATCAGAAGAATTTCAGTCCCAAAATTAAAGTGTTTAACTCTTTTTTTTTTTTTTTTTTTTTTTTTTTTTGACTACAGCTTCATCCTGTAATCAAATATCATGTGTGTTCAGCACAGTCAAGACACAAAAATGTAAATTACTTCTCCACAAGAAAAGCAGCACTGAAAGGGAATTAGATGTTCCTGGAACCTGCATAAACTTTTAACAGAATGAGTCAAAATACCTATTCAAATATAGAAAAGAAGTCAATAAAAAAGCTGAATGTCGAAAATTATTTAGAGATGAGAAAAAAAAACCATCATCATCTCCCACTCCAATTTACTCGTGTGTGCTGCTCAAAGGGAGCTTTTTTATGGGATATTTTCAGTGTTCCAAGGTTGCTCCCTTTGAGCATTGTTAGCATGGCCACTGCTCTGCCTGGGTTGTGCTTTCTGAATGCTCCTTTCCTCTGCCAAGGAAATACCACAGATGGACCTTGCAAACAGCAGCAGTGCCAAGGCTCACATCTGCACACACTCAGACATGGTTTGTCTCTGCTTTTAGTCCTTCCTGGCAAACCTGGGAATGCTCATCACCTTGGACAGCCCGTTCCACCTGGCTGAGGAGTGTTCCTGATGCAACCTGGAACACACCTGTCCCTGCTGGAATCAGGAGCCCAACTGCAGCTCCGTGTATTCCCAAAAAGCACTGAATCCCAGAATGGTTTGGGTTGGAAGGGACCTTAAAGCCCATCCAGTGCCACCCCCTGCCATGGGCAGGGACACCTTCCACTAGCCCAGGTTGCTCCAAGCCCTGTCCAACCTGGCCTTGGACACTTCCAGGGATGGGGTAGCCACAGTTTCTCTGGGCAACCTGTGCCAGGGCCTCCCCACCCTCCCAGGGAAGGACTTTTTCCTAATGTGGCTCAAGACTTCACAGAAAAATGATCTTAAAACTTTACACTCATTATTTACAGAAACAAAGCAGAAAAAAAAATATGCATGTTGACAACCCTAATGCTGCCCTTGGAATCTCCAAAGGACATCAATCCTGATGAAGCCTGAAGTGTTTAGGGATTACTCAGGAACTAATATTACAATAAAAAAATGTAGTAGTTTTAAAGTCAAGATTTTTAAGCAAGAGAAAATTAAAGACCTCAATAAATTATGTGTCCCTAAATATTGAAAAGCTGCCTAGAATTACCAACCACTATTTCAATGTTCAGTGTGTTGTAATGAAAACTGTTCCTCTGTTTCTGGCCCTCACTCTCCTCCTTCCCACCCCCACAGCAGCAGGACTATGGGGAGGGAAATCCCATAGGAATCCTGCATCTCCTTCTACCCAATTTAACTTCTATTTTTCTTTTCACTTAAGTATGAACCATTTCTTTTGTATTTCCTCATGTCCACAGTGACACAAAGCAATCCACACAGAAATCAACACTACTCACAGAGGAGATCAGAGGAATGAGATCCCTCACTTGAGAACGGACTGACCTTCAGAAAATCTGGACAGTCAGATGTTCCACACCTAAACACTGAAATTCAGCTTCCCATTGGATTTTTAAGCAATCTTCACGGAATTGGCAGGAAAAAAAAGTAGATTTAGAGAACAAATTTTTCTCCCATATTGCCCTAAATTTCAAGATCCAGTAGAAGAATAAAAAGATTTTAAAAAACAAGTTTCAAGGCTCATGCTGTTATTAAGATGCTGCTTCTTTTTTTCCCCCCTCTTGGATAAAATCTCCTTCATCAAAGTTCTGTGGACTGTAACAGGATCAAGATTTGAACTAAGTTAGCTGAAACTGTTACTTTTGAGCTTTAAATGGAGGTTGCCCTTTAAGTTGCTTTGACTTTTTAGACCTTGTGGCCAATTTCCACAGCCCTACATTTGGAAGACAGAAAGGAAGCAGAATGGGAAAGGGAGATTTGAAGATAATGCCAGGTATTTTCACATGTCTGTGAAAGACTTTTCAACAGAGATGCTTTTTTCTTTTCCCCTCCTGTCTTTTACTTAACATGTGCTCTTCAGATTAGAGGCAAAAAGTAGGGATGTAGGTTAAATTAAAAAAAAAATAAATTCAATAGCAGTTAATATAGCTGAAAATTAGCAAATTTTTTGAAAAATAGAAAAAAATCCAACAAATTAAAAAAACCAGTATTTCTGACAGAAATGACAATTCAAGACTATTAAAGATATTGCCCCATGAAGGATTATTTGTAACTTTAATTTGAGGATGTAAAGAAGTTAACTTTTCTTTTGCTATACTACACATGTAAAAAAAAAAAGATCAAAGAAAGAAAAGAATTGAGATTCAAATTCCATTTTTAAGCAAAAATGACAATGTCTTCCTGAGTTAAAATTAATCCTTTAATGATGAATTTCAAAGGTTTAAATACTTTCTGTGACCTTGGCTTTAAATAATTATGCCAAGCAGAGCTTTCCTTACATTCAGAAAAGATCCTGAATTGTTGATCACAGCCATTTTAATGGCTTCAGCCTGGCTGATTTCCAACATAATCCCCCCAATGCTCTTTAAAATTATAGACCAAGAACCTGACGCAGGTAAATGAAATGTCACTTGCACAAAGGCTGCTCAAACAGTCTCTGCAGATTGTTAATTTGTGCCACTGCACATCCCTTTGCAAGAAAATGTGTGATTTAGTGCATTAATGGGTATAAAAGATACTTCAACAACTATCTGCTTACACATACACAGTGTCTGTATAAATATTAAGTAGGGGGTTTTTTTTGGTTTAGCTTCTGAAATAAAACTCCCATGTTTTAGCTCCCTAATGGGGGGAAATACTTGAATTCAAGACATGGGTCCAAGGGGATGCTCAGCAAAGACAGATGTGGGCAGTGACCTCCATGGAACAGAACAGGGAGGGAAACCTTGATGGATCTGAAACATAAATTCCCATTTTCAAGCCTTTCCCAGAGTCCTTGCTCACTTAATGCACACAGGCAATATCAGACCAGCCATCATTAGCAACTAGATTTAATCTCCTCACAGTTTTAGCCTGAGTTTTTGCCTCCTTAGGAACTTACCTTCTTTTTTAAGGGACAAAAAGCTTGGTTAGGCTGAACCACCCTTTCTACTCCTTATTCCAGCAAAGAAGAAGTGATTAGCTGGATCCTTGGCTGGCCTTACCTGTGAAATCACCTGTGTTTTTAAAGTCCTGCTGGCTCCCAAGCACCTCAGGGCACCTTCCACCCCTGCCCCCTGGGTGCTGCCCAGGGCTGGAGGTGCTCCCAGTCCCTCTGCCAGGGCTCAGCTCACAGCCACGGCTCAGGGGAAAGGTTTTCATCACAGAACCACAGAGGGCAGACCTACAGCAGACATCTGATTTTCCAGCTCAAGCGTCCCCTAAACATTTCCCCCCCAGGGAAGCTTTGCTTAGCTGACTTTTGGGGTGACTGTTCCCCTCTCTCCACACCCCACAGACCTGCCCCATGTGACTCTCTTACCTTGTCCAAGACCTTCTCTGTCTCAGCTGCGTGTCTCTTCTTCAGGTCTAAGATCATTTTTTCCGTCTCCATCTTCATCTTGTTCACTGTGGCCTCCTTTTCTCGAGCTGCCTTCAGCTTCTCCTCGTCCCTCTGACGGCTCAGGTCCAGCAGCTGCTGGTTCCTCAGAGAGTTTGCCTGAATGAGCTCTTCCCTCAGCCTGAGGATTTGGTTCTCCAGGTTACAGATAACCTGTGAGAAAGAACAGACTAAGTGAGAAAACCCAAAGCCGCAAAATAAAACCCACTTGATTTTCTTAGAAAGGGTGGTAGCAGCACTCAAAGGATGCTCCAGCCCTTCTCCTGGCCTCTCTTCCCTTTCTCTTCGTGCCTGCAGATGAAAACAGCTCCCCCCTGCCCAAAGCATTGGCAAGGTTGGCATTTTTGGAGGGGGTGCCCCCATAGGTGAAGAAATTCAGTTTGTGGCATATAATCACTGTAACTTCTATCCATGCCTTCTTCTGTTATCCTTAAGAAATCATCTGCCCCCTTTTAATGAGGTATCATCAATCATTTATCAACAGCTCCCAGACTCTGATGTAGGAACACAAAGGGTTGAAGAATCAAAATGATAAGAGATAAAACTGTGCTACTCCTCGTTAAACAGAATACATTCTGTTATTTTACAGTAGTAGTAGTAGGTACACATTTATTACTTCAGATGTACACTTGCATATAACTCTTATTAGTTACTTTTTTAACTCAATTTCTTCCCCAGGTTCTCAACCAAAGTACAAGAGTATCACATCTGAGACACAAAGCATTGTCCTTACAGAAAAGTGGAATGTATGATGGTGCAAGCACATCCATGTTTTCATTCATAAATACAATTCTGAAAATTAGCATTTTCACCAAACCCTTACACAGTTATTTCCCCTTCTTTCCTCCTGCTTCACAAGTAACTTTGCAGTTCCCTGGAATTCCATCACAGAGGATGAGATAATACTGAGATAAGAAACTGATGTTCTACCAAACAAATGCAGGTGACTCAGCTCAAGCTTATTAAAGACTTCACAAAAAAAATCTGATGAAAACTAGTGTATATTTAAAGTTCCCATTGCCCTGGAATGCTAGAATACTGATTCTAGAGCTCTGGGCTTGTCTTTCTTTCCAACTGCTATTTTTCTTCTTTAGACACTTTTAATACACTGTCTGTACTCAGCTAAACCATTTATTTGCAGTGTCTGAGAACCACATAACTACAAAACTTTGAAAAAGAGACATCCATTTCTGACCAAAGTTGGGAGACGTGAATGACTATCAGATCTATTGCCTTGAACATTAATCTCCCAAGACAGATTGTTAGAAATACTGTGATCTGAGAGAGGAAAAAAAAAAAAATTAAAAAAAAAAAATCAAGGCTTGAAAGTTTGCCCGTTTTTCCAGCTATTTGAACTATCTGGTGTAACAAAGACGTCGTCTCCCTTCAAACCTTCAGTTTGTCCTTCAGCTATCACAGCTGTAACATGTATGAAACAATATTAACCCCCTCAGAAACTTATTTGGCTTCCATGTTTTCTTAATTACTCACTGGTACTGCTCCCCACTGTGTCAAAGGTAAAATTGTGTGTATGGTAGAGAAGGAATGAGCACGTCATTTGTATACAGAACTCTAACACAGGCCACATATTTCAGCTCTATCAGCATTATCTCAAACATATGTTTCATATAGTGTAATCTGCACTAGATCCTTTCCTTCCTCTCCTGAGCTTTTCCTCTACACATGTTTAATTTCTTATTAAATCCGTATACAGGCTAAAAACGTAAAGTACATTTTAGTCTATAATTATAATCCACAATGTGCTTTCATAATTCTTTCGGAAAATTATTTCATCTCAAGATCACAAAAACATGACAGCCTGTCTGGCTTTCCCTTAGCCAGAGAAACACTAACTCAATGAAGATAATAACTACAATTTCTGTTGGATGATATGGTCTGAGTTCCAAACTGACACACACAGCATTTAGGTTTTTCAACAGCTGTCCCAGTGCAAGTCCTGCCTGGAATAATCACAATTATCTTTTAATCTGTGAGAGCTCCTTTTGAGAGCTCATTACCCCACCATTACCACTTTCCTTCTGGTTTTTTTTCACCCCCTTCTTTCTTTTTTAAAATGAAAAGCTTCCTCTAACTACACCCTCACACACACACATAAGTGAAACTAAGATATTACATGGCTCAGAAGTTCCCTAAAAAGTTTGTTAAAATATTTAGGATAAGAAACCAGGGCTAACTTTTTATAACACAGGGAAAATTCATTCATAAATGACATTACAAGCCAAAATAAAGGCTGGGCGAATTCCTGACTCAATTGTTACGTCTTTTCTGCTTTACTTCATTCTTTATTAATGATTCTCATAAAAAAGTAGAAAATGAAATGGCACAATACAGTGTTTTCTACTGCCAGAAGGAGAAAGTAACAGCTCCCAGCCTTCAGATCCCAAATGGGGAGCCAGCTGATCGTGGGCTGAGTGTTATAGGTAAAGTAACAGTAATTAATATGCAAAGGAGCATTAATGTTGGACCTAATAGATGGCAAAAGCAGATTTGGTTCTATTAGGAGAGAAGAAAGGCTCTGGAGACAGGGTGATGGCAGCGAAACTAATATGATTAAAGGAGTCCCTTTGGAGCAACTTCACTGCCAGTAAGATGATGTTAAGAGACATCTAATCTCCCCAAAGTGACTGGAAAAAGCTTATATTGGGGATCACAGCCACAGTTCCTGTCAATTACTTTCAAATAAGTCCAGTTCTCACAGCCAGATTAGGTTTTCTCATAAACAAAGTCAGTGGCAGAAGCAGATTACACCCGAGCAACTCACTACCTGAGACAACCTGGTGTGACACGAGATCTTCAAGTGATGAGGGAAATGAATCCCAAACTTTCCAGCACTAAGACTCTGCTATTCCACATGCCAGGTTTAATAAACTATTATTAGACTTAAATGTAGGCAAATTAGGAAAGAAAAAACCCCGAGATGACTTAATTCTCAGTTGTGAAAAACCCATGAAATACAAAACTTATGAGTGACTGTCTTTTTTAACGATTCTGTGAGAAAATAAGAGCTGCAGTTACAAAATCTCACTTCTCATGCTCCAGATCCAAAGGCACAAGGTTTGCTTGCTTTCTTTGGAAAACTGAATCCTCTTTCTCAGTATTGGTTTCTTAAATTTTTCCCTGGCTGCTCTGTTTGGGAACCAAAAATGGCTTGCATGGTCCAAACAATAACTTGGGTACAAGAGCTGCTGTGAGAAATACACATCTTAAACACTCCATCTGAGCAAACTATTATTGTACTAAACTGGATCAAACATAAGAAATAAAGACTCACAGCATGTAATAGGTCCAAAAGGTTATTGCTGTTTGCTTTCTTTCATGGATCAACGTGTTGGAGTCTTTATTTCAGTTGTGTGGGTACAAGTACATGAAATAAAAGAGATTGGTATCTATTTTGGAAAGGATGCAGAAGTTTGCAGCAAGTCCCAGGACGGTCACACCACAAGAACATGCCCCAAACGAGGAAGCATAGAGGACAACAAACAGAAAGGCAACACTGGCTTACACAGTACCCCAAATGGAACAGAAAGACAAATACACAAACTGTGTGACAGGGTAGAGGTTTCATGTGAGTTTATATGGCACACTTGTATGTCCCATGGCTGAAGAAACTGCTGGCCAAGGTGGTGATTTCTATTTCTGTTTCAAAGCAATAACTTAGAATTCTAACTAAGAATATCTGTGCCGAAATAAGTGTCATAAAAAGGGTGGGTCATGAGCCCACAGCAATTTGCCTGCAGGGAAAAAAATAGACTTGAAAGAAAAAGAAGAAGGTTGGTCGCTCACTTTGGCCTATTTAAAATGCCAATAAATGTACCACGTGTTATTTGGAAGGAATACATGTGCTCTTAATTTTAAAAAGTAAATTGCATAAGAAAACATAAAGTTGGCAAAAAATTCTAATGAAAATCTGCTGGTGATGTCTGAAACTGCGACAGCTACGTGCAACAGAGAGGAGAAACGAACCCAATGACTGCAGGCTAATTAAAACCAAGGATACTACATTTTCCCTTTATTTTTCAGAAGCCCCCACATCACCCCCATGAAGCATTTCCTTGGATCAGATTCTGAGGAAGAGGCATGAGCACATCTTCACACTCAGGGCCACGGAACACACGGACCTCGCTGTCTCCCTCCCAGGGCATGACACACCAAACCACATCCACCCCATCCCCACACAGCTTCAAACACTGGCAAGGGCACTTCAGAGTCACAAAAACAAGGCAGTGGAGAATTCAGATCAAATCCACTCCTGACCTATTCCCCAAGGCTCAGATCTACAGTCACTGAGGTGTTGCCTCAGCGGATTTACAGTAAGTGAGTAACATCTCCCAGCAGAGGAAGCTGCAATAACCCTCATTGCTCTTCACCCAGGCTGCTCAAACTGCACTCAGCTGCTTAAACACCTCTGCATTTCTCTGGTGGCTCATGACAACTCTTCAAACTGAGTTTCAGAAGTTTTCTGCCCTGGGTTAACTTGGCTTCAGTCGGAGATGACTGCACTGGGCTCAGTTTGCTGCGTTTAATGTTGCATGGAACATTTAAAAAAACCCACAACAACCCCCCCCCAGAATCTCTGAGCAGTGCTATGGTCTTAGCTCTGAGGTTACAGTATCACAAAGATCCTTTCTAGGATAATAACCTAAAATATCAGCCTGTAACAGCCCTATTTGACCCACCAACATGCAGCTTCTGCCTCTGAGTGCCAGGACCTTCTCAGCATTTCCTCATGTGGAAGACCATTAAAATGAGCAGTGTGTGCTGGGAACCATCAGCTGGACCTTCTGAAAGGGAGATTTGTCTCTTTGTGCCTCATTCCACTGGTGTGACAGCGATGGATGAGGTATCCATAACATCCCTTACTGGGCACTGGATTATTTTGGAAAGGAGATCAGTCCAGTGCAGGGAAAGGAAGTCTGTAGTAAAAACAAATCTCACTTTGATGATGAAGAATTAAAAGGAAAACTAAGGAAGAAAGCAGAAACACCCAGTGATTCAGTGGTGACAATGACTCCCTTTTTACCCAGGATCAGTGCAATGTCCCAGAGGAGGGGGATGAAGTGTCCCCTCCCAGTCACACAGCAACTGGTGACATATCTGCTGCAAAATACCTTAGAGGGATTATCTGCTCAAAG